AAGAATTTCGAAAAAAGCTCTTTGTTGTTTTGAAAAGAGGCCTCCAAGGAATCGAACGGCGTGTGAATTGAGGCTCTACGAACTTTCGCCAAAGCTGACATAGTTTCTTAAGATTTGCATATCGTCTTTGACTTGTGTTGGTTTTGGGCTCTATGGAAAATCAGCTTCTTGTTTCGGAGATGTGAGACTCAATTTTCGATTCTGAATCTGAAAAACGTGGCCTCGAGTGCGGAAAACACAACCGGGAGAAACTGGAGCCGAATTACGGGAACCTTCTTTTTTTAGAGTTTTCGAGCACTTGGTAGTATTTTGAGCATAACTTCGTGCGAAAAGGGTTTGGGAAGGCGGGGAACACATATTCGCGGTCCTCATTCAATTCTGCGTCGAATGGTGTGTTAAAAACATACAAGCTTTTCTAACTCGATTCTTGCCTTCCGTGCATCTTATGAATAGCGGTAAAATTTTCGGATTTTGATTTGTAAAAGTGTACGAAATGAAATATGCAGTAACAGTATAAATATGATAGCAATTAAAATTTCATTAAAAGAAGCGCTTTATTGATACATGCTCGTTTGTATGAGTCTATTTTCTTCCGAGCAGTTCGTTTACTCTTAAAATCTGTATACAATTTTGAAAAAAAAGGATAAAGAATCCCTTCGCAACACCACCAATTTGTGATATTGCTGATATATTGCTTACTGCTGATTTTGTATGTCTAAAAATCTATTTTAACTAAAAAGTACATATTGGCCTTAACTAATCGTTAGCGCTTAAGCTTTGCCTGTCTCCACGATAAGCAAAGGTACATCGGTTATCATTTCTCTAATTTATTTACTCGTCTCTATCTTCCACTTCACTAGTTCACCTCATAGACAATTCAAAATCACTTCCACTTCACTTGAAATGGTGAGGTAGTGCTTTTCCCCCCTTGACTACATACTATCTCACTTATCAACTTCTTGCCAAAAACAAGTATCTCCTTGAAAGAAATATAATCAGATGGTTCATTCTGACGTCTTCTGTTTCTTCTCGCCGCTCTCAGCCGATAGATGCTATGGAAGCTATTCTTCTTTAGATAAACAGGGGGATTTAAAATACGATTTCAGTTCGGGAAAAAGCCGTGTCATAGCGACTGGTACTTTATTGTATATTTGGTCTAAATCATTTTCTACAAAAAGATAAAACTGAATCCCAAAGCACACTACAGCAGCATTCATCTAGCGCCACTTGTTTCTGTTTAAGGAGAGGTGTCATATACGAATACAGAGTGTATCCACTTTTATTCCATTTTACAAAAATTGTAGTCGGTTGTAAAATTTTTGCTCGTGAAAATGGAAGTTCAACACAAAATTAGAATCACCCTAATGAAGTTTCTCTAATTTCAATTGTATCGTTAAATTCCTAAAGTAAACTTGTCATTTTCAATATGAGATTCCAACTAAACAGATGTATCAACTTGCAGAGATAGAATTTAATCTTTACCATGACTCACGTGTATACACAAATCGAAGTTATGGCGCAATTACTTCAAAGTAATTACGCAATTACTCACTCACATGAGTACAAATACATTTAAACTTTTCTCTTTCCATCATAATTTACAAAATCGAAAAAGCTACACACACATTATTCTTTACCGTCATCATGGATTCATTAAATGAAAATGTCTAGTGACAAGTACTAAATTTGTTTGTTTCCATACCGTGATAATAATTTATTTTTTCTGCACTAGAAATGAGACCAAGACCAACCAAAATTCAGGCGTTCAATCGATTGAACCCGGTAAGAAGTTTTCAAGATGTGCCAACAGCCTGAAGTTATAATTCTTTTATCATATAGATGGGATCATCGAAACCAATTGGACAGAGATGGTCGAACAATTCGATCAGATGAATTTGAGGGAACCACTTTTACGTGGTATTTATGGTTATGGTTTTGAACGCCCGTCTGCTATTCAGCAACGTGCCATTAAACCGTGCATATCAGGTTAGATGATTTGTCTGTGATTATTTAAGTAATATCACTCTATACATGCTTCGCTTTTCTTTGAATCGCTTAGGCCGAGATGTTATTGTACAAGCACAATCCGGTACTGGGAAAACAGCTGCAATTATCATCTCTATTCTTCAACAAATAGATCTTGATTTGAAAGAATGTCAAGTGCTTGTTTTAGCACCAGTAAGAGAGTTAGCTAAACAAGTATGTTACTCGCTTTAGCAGGGACTTTATGATATTTGTTCAATGCTAAAGCTGCTGAGGAAAAACTGGTGTACGATCAGTTCTTGAAGCAGTAATATTGTTTTTTTAATCTTTTCTACGTCTAGACGCAAAGACTTGTATTGGAGCTAAGTCATTATATGAATGTCACGTGTCACGTTTGTGTTGGTGGTACAAATGTTCGTGAGGACATGAAATATCTTGAACAAGGCGTTCAAATTGTTGTTGGAACACCTGGACGTGTCTTCGATATGATAAAACGTCAAGCACTTCGTAAGCTTTCGCCGTACACAAAAATGTTTTGGTAAAACTGGTAGGATTCTCATACGAATCTTATCAGTTTCTTATGTAATATTGTTTAACGATGGTTTAAGATTCCATAAAACTGGAAATCAGACTTTGTTTCTAGCCAGCATTCGGTTTGGGGATTTCTTATGTTTTTCTTACGAACCTCTTATGAAAAGCTTATCGGATTCTTATACCACTTTTGATGAAAACTCTTAAACCATCATATAAGAATTTGATAAGAGGCTTATATAAGAACCGATCACCAGGTTCTGATCACACATCTCTGTTTTATCTTTCCATTCAACGTATTTCTTTTCTATATAGGTAGTAAACACATCAAAATGTTCGTATTAGACGAAGCTGATGAAATGTTGTCGCGAGGTTTTAAAGAGCAAATTTATGATATTTTTACAGCGATGTCTGACAATGTTCAGGTTAGTTTAGAAATACAAAAACCTTCCTTCCATTATGTAGTTTCCATTGTGGTTCTAGGTCGCTCTCCTATCTGCCACGATGCCTAGTGATATATTAGATGTAACAACAAAACTTATGAATGATCCAGTCAAAATTCTTGTGAAAAAAGAAGAACTCACACTCGAAGGTATTCAACAATTTTATGTAAATGTTGAACGCGAAGTAGGTGCTTTGTAATATTTGGCAAAGAATCAACAACTGATTATTTCATTTATATATTTTTAAAGAACTGTAAATTCGATAAATTGTGTGATCTGTTTGAAAGATTAACAATTGCACAAGCAATCATCTATTGTAATACTGGACGAAAAGTTGATTGGTTAACAGAACAAATGCGTAGTCGTGATTTCACTGTGTCGGAAATAGTAAGTTAATCCATGTAGTAGAAAAAAAGAAACGTTTTTATGGTTAATATTGCCGAGTATACAACTGTAAATTAATGGATGAGTCTATTGGCATCCCCGGGAAGTGTCATCAAGGAGCTATTGGCACTCCCAGCAACCGTTTACGAGTGTCGACTAGGAGCTATTGGTACTTCCATACAAAACAATTTGCGGGTAGTATCAATAAGTATATGAGAGCTCAGGTGGATTGCAGAGCCCTGCAGGTTAAACCTAACCTAACCAAATACAACCTATACGTTAGGTTTAGGTTGCAAGAGTTATAGGTTAGGTTAGATTGTAGGTTGTGTTTTCATTTTTTCAAGTTTTGCACAAGCGAAATTTTTTCTGATTTGAGGCATCCATCCATGCTTAATTCTTTGAAAGGCAAAAAGCTCAGTGACATGTATGTTTACTCTTGTCAAATATGCGTGTAATGTTCCTGGGCTGAAAACGAAAAATCACAAGATAGGTTAGATTAGAATTAGGTAGCCGAGTTCATAGGTTAGGTTAGGATTAGGTTGTGAAATCTTTTATAGATTAGGTTACAGGTTGCTAAAGAGTGGCAACCTGCAGGGCTCTGATGGATTGTGAGAGTACGTGAGAAAACTAAAAGTCTGGTGGCCAGTAACACGATCATCCGATATTTCAGTAACCCATTCTGCAGAGATTTGTTGTACAATGTTAAACTTCTTTGAACTCACCGGCTTGCTGCAACCATGGTTGGATAGAGTGTTCAACATGACGCTGCATACTAGAAATTTTCTTCTTATTATAAGTTTTTGTTACACCAATTTTCATGTATTTGATTTTCAGCATTTTCACTCACTCTCACTATCTACCTACCTGCCAATATACAATCGAAACCTTGCGAGTTAAAGTATAGTTCGAAGAACTCTCAAACGTCGAGTCGCTCATATGTCCGATGACCTCCTTGTTGACACTTGTAGCAAATCTTCTTGCATCGGAGTACCACTGGCTCCTGGTTGCAACTCCAGAGGGTGCCAGTAGTCAGACAATTACTTTGTTTTTGTATTGTTTATTTAGCACGGTGATATGGAACTAAACAAACGAGAGATTCTCATGAGAGAATTTCGAACCGGTTCTAGTCGTGTTTTAATAACAACAGATTTACTACCAGGTGGTATTCCTGTAGCCCAAGTTTCATTGGTTATCAATTATGAGTTGCCAAATCAGTGTGAAAGATACGTCCATCGGTACGTAAAGAAGTAGTGAGAACATTATATCCGTTTTACGTAGCGGAGTTAAATTGCACTTTCACAAATCATATGAATGAAGAAATTCGGATATGATTCGTTTCCGTTCAGGCTGCTATTATCTAT